TTTTTGTCCATCACTTTGCCTTTCTAACAACCTTAAATTTTTTGCCTTAATCTCAGCAAGATTATTATTCATGGATAATGCTCAATGGACTCAGGTATACTTGGTTATTTATTTTATTTTATTTTATTTTTTTTGTAGAGATTTAATCTTATATATTTTTTTCTTACTCTTGGATCAAGTGATGATTAAAGTAGATCAGTAATTACACTCTTTTTTTTTTTCTTCTTCTTCTTCTTCTTTTTTCTTTTTCATTTTTTTTCTGAACCACATTGTCCTTTTTGTGTCCTTCCATCTTCTTCTCATTTTAGGTTTTTAAATTTTAATCAAACAATCCCTTGAATATATTTGAGAGAAATGCTAAGGTCCTATTACGAAACCATTCCGTCTGAATTTGTAACCATCAAAGATAGTTGATCGGTTATAAACTCCGACGGAATGGTTTCGACCGTAGCATCTTCCTATAGTTGAATATATACAACAACACAAAGGAGAGTATTAATGTGGCAAATTGCTTTAGGTTCCTTTATTTTATTCAATTATGTCTTGTAATTAATTTGATATTTAATTAACTAAATATAATTAATTACCTAGGTTTTTATTTTTTATTTTTTTCATTTCTATTTTATTATGATCATCACCTCCATTAATAAAATTTTGCATGTTTTTCAGGAATTTGAGATGAGAAAATCTATAGGAGAAGTAAGTTCCCCAATGGGCGGCGGTGCAAGGGCAACAACATTAATGGAGAAAAAAGGCGGCGGCATGAGGCCTCCCCAAAAGGAGCAAGCCCTAAACTGCCCTCGTTGCCACTCAACCAACACCAAATTCTGCTACTACAACAACTACAGCCTCACCCAGCCCCGGTACTTGTGCAAGACCTGCCGAAGGTACTGGACCGAGGGCGGAACCCTAAGAAACGTGCCCGTCGGTGGCGGCTCGAGAAAGCACAAAAAATCCGTCCCCACGTCCTCCTCCGATCATATGTCCTTTTCGTCCCAAAAGTTCGATCTCAACCCCCCCACCATTCCCCAGTTCCCCACTCACCTCCATCAACAAAACCCTAAAATCCTCGACCAAGCTCGAGACCTCAATCTCGGGTTTCACGGCTATACCCACGGCTTGCCTCACTTCCTCGACTATCCTAAGGTCGAGGGAAAGGATGTCATTTCATCAGCGTCGTCGTCGTCGTCGTCCGCCCAGCTGAGCTTCGCGAGGAGTGGAAATCATCATCATGACCCGGCAGCGAGGGGAATTATGACGAACTCTTTTTTCCCTAATGTGGCCCCCGCCGCTTTGGATCAAGCTAATAGTAGTAACGCGCTTTTCGGGCCGGGCTTTCTGTTTCAAGAATGCAAGCCGTTCTCCATCGATGGGATAGTGAGTGGGCCGAGTGGATACGCGAACGCGAAACCATCGGCCGTGGAGGAGAATGGGGACGGCGGGACCCTAATGTTCACGTTGGGAGATACTAATAAACGAGATTCGAGCACGAGTGAAGCTCAAGATAAGGGATCAAATGAGAATAATTCTAATGGGTTTTGGAATGGGATGTTAGGTGGAGGAGGGTCTTGGTGAAGATATTAAACAAGAATTGAGTAAGGACAACAAGAAACTTAATTAATGGGGTCTCTATAGCTCACCTTTCTGTCCTTTTTTTTTTTATTTTAATTTTATTTTAATCTTTATGATGTCATGGTCGGTTTAATTAGCTATATAGCAAGGTGTTTGGATTTGTTTAAAACTAACTGACATATATATACTGCTTAATTAGGGTGTCATGTATTAATTTCTTCAGTTTACTTGTTTGTTTTTGTCTTTGCTTTTTCTTTTGTTTTTCTAAATGTTGCACAAACTGAAGCTGGAAAAAGTCACCTGTTGCCTAATATGAGCTCTTCTTGCATGTCTTAAGCTTACTGAAAGTTGCTTTTCAATTTTCAGTGTAATATGAGCTTCCACAATGCAGATTACTCTAAGTTGGAGTTGAGAATCTGATATACGCTGAAATATAATTGTAACAATAAATTTTATTTCGTGTCCCACTGGGCGTGCAGAATTTTGTAACAATTAATTTTATGAAAAAACAATTTTTGGACAAACTTGAATGTATTTCGATCAGACGATATTGTAGGGACAATCTCTATAAGTCTCCACAATCTCTATATGTCTCCTCTGATTTTTCTCTTCGTGGACGTGAATTTGGTTGGAGACAACTTTTTGAAGGACTTGCTTCTTCGATCTTTTTAGAAGACGGATTTGCACTTGAATAATGTTGATTCGAATGCTATGATACTTGAACTTCTCGACGAACTTCTTGAATGATTTGAGGGAAATAGATTTCGCTTCTTTATTTAGAACTTCTCGACGAACTTCTTGATTGATTTGAGGGAAATAGATTTCGCCTGTTTATGTATTGGAGGGCCGCCACCTCTTTTTCTTCTTCTTGGCCTTCTTGAATGCCCTTGAGAATTTGATTTTTCTTTCTTTTTTTGAGGTGACTTTGATTTATGAGATGTGATTTGTGACTTTGAGGAGAATTCTATTTATAGGTGTAAGAGAGAGTCTTGAAGGAGAAGACTACAATTGGTCCTCCATATATAATTTGATATAATCTGTTTACTTAAAGATTTGTCTTTATAGATTTGACTTACTGGACAAGAAATATTTACTTTACTAATTAAATATCTTATTTGTCTTGGATGTATGTCCAAAAATAAGTAAAGACATTAGTTAATAAAATATCGATGTCTTATAATAATTTTCAATAAATTTGTATGTCTTTCACAAAGGTAAAAATAAACAGAATATATATATATGAAAAAGAGCTGGCTAAATTTCAATTTTCATACACTATGTTGGTCATTTTCTGAAAAAGATTCATCATATAGGGTGTCATATAGAAATGGTCCACTAAGTTGTCAGTTTTAATCAAAAATCGTACAAAAGCCAACATAGTGTACTAAAATTCACAATCACTTTTAGTACACTATCTTGATTTTTGTACGAATTTTGATTAAAATGGCAACTTAGTGGATCATTCTTGATGATGTCATATATGATGAACTTTTTTCGAAAAAATGATCAACATAGTGGACTTTTTTGAAATTTTGCCAAGAAAGAGCAGTACCAGCTACTATTTTCAGATCAAGGTATTTCCCAAGGGGATTCGTTCACTTTCACCTTTACATTAATAATGTCGTTGCATATTTATGATCATGATTATTGTGCACCTTTTGGGTGCATTGCATGTTCTCGGCACCTTAATCACCCTAACTTGTCTTTCTTTACAATTAATGGTGTATTACACCAAAATGTTAATCTTGATTAAAAATTCCTTGGCCCACAACCACCCAAAA